CATATGGCATTTTAAAAGGCCAAATGTTAACGCTTTAAAACCGCAAAAGGGCGGGAAGATATACAAAATTTAAATTGTTATTTCGGTTGTATGAAATCTAAAGCTCAGAACTTTTTTGTACACCTAATAAAATTAAAAAATTAAGAAAATTTCACAAAAAAATCTGATATTAACGAATGAAACCATCAAATATCAGAGAAAAAGTTTTAAATAAGATATTTAGTAAAGAAAATAAATCAAACATTTTCAGTCAAATAAACCTAAACAAATCAGCAGGATTAGACAATATAAATAACGATAAAAGTTAGTACTATTCTAAAACTTACAAACCGCTCTATATTAATACTGTTCTTTAAAAAATTAGAATTCATTATTGTTCCTTTGAGAATGATAATATAATATGCTACTAGACATAGATATTAATAACCCAATAGCTAACTCCGTTTTGGAATCAAAATTATATATAAATTTTATAAAATGTACTATAAAGCTAAATATATGTATTATCACAGCAACTATAGATTTAAGTTCCATTTTTAAAGCCTCCGTATTTAAAAACAATGAACATATAAATAAACATATAACAATGAAAAGATAAATTCGAATTTCATTACTCGTTGTTTCCAGTGTTGCATATATTCTTAGGATAGTCACATGCATAGAGTCAATTTCCCGTTTCATACTGTTCATAGTTCTTTTCGAAATATTGTATGTCTGAAAATGATATATTATTTCTATTATACATGAGTATTATATACATGTGTATATATATATATATATGTATGTATGCGAGTGCGTATGTGTATACAGGCGTTATGCGATAAATTTATGTATCTATCCACAGATTCCTTTTATCTGTATTTCTTTTTACTGTGTATATTCACTCATCCACATAAAACAAAACAAAAATAAACACAATTATAGACGTTAGTAAATATATATATATATAAACGGGCAATATATATATATATATATCTTTTTCTCATGAGGCATCAATAATTCTATATGAATGTTATACATATGTAATAAAATTTACCTTTTGTTTGGTACCTTCATTTACTAGTATTTCCGGTTTTTCTTTATTAAACATAACGTCTTCCTTTAAATCATTTGACATAATTTTCTGTATCTAAAACCAATTATTTCGACGAATTATTATCGATAATGATAATTCAATTTTACTTTATAAGATTGTAATATAATTCTAATATAATACAATTTGTTGGCATAATGAAATTAAAATACTATATATGTGTATGATGTATACATGCATATAGCATTTGAAGGAAATAAATAATTTTAATAGGATATTTTTTGAATAATATATTTTTATTTATTATTATAAATATATTTTTTGAATTTCTAAAATATACCTTTTCAAGTCGTTTTTCTCGACTGGATAACTTAAATTGCATGGTTGATATTATTAATTCTTCCTTCAGATATATTACGAACTTATTTAGAATCTGAAACGAGTTATTTCGGTATTTATTATCATTTAATATTTAAATCATATTTACAGTTATGTATCAATAGGGAAACTTTTGTTGAAAGTAAGAAATGTAAAAGAACAAGCAGAATAAAAGAATAAATACTATATATGTCAGCAAGATCTAATAACATGATGAAATTAATACAGACACACTTGAAAAGATAAATTAATTGGATTAAACTGCTCAATATTCTATTCGCATTCTTTTCACATGCTGATATTTTTTTATTAGACAAGATATATTAATTATATGCGTTATAAATTATTTTCTCAGAAACTGTTAAAAATTAAAAATGAAACTTTTGGACTAGATGGCTCTGTTAATAAGATCGAAGTAAATAGAATATATGATTTACCGTGTTCTCTTGATTTTCAATATTTCCATGATTAAGAATAACAGTTAATGCCGCAAACACATTGACTTCTCTATAGAAAAAAATAACAAATGTATATTTATAACAAACGTATAACAAATGTATAACAAACCAAGTAGTACAGCAGCCTGTAAAACGCTTATACATTTTTTTAGCGCTTCCTTAACGTCTTGGCGCTGTGCTACTTGGAAATATGTTACGTATATTTTTAATATATATTTATCATATATATACATATATTAACATAAATGTTTTATAAATTTATGATATAAATTTTGAAAAGAGATATCATACGCGGGTTTTATTTTTTCGAAATTCTCCAATATATATTCCAATACTTCAATGTTCCTTGCATGCTTTGCGATAATACGAAGGAAAATATTAACACGAACATTGATTTCTAGTGTTATATTATCCGATATACTATTTAAATATGTTTGAATAATAGTAGAATTTTCAGAGCAGGTCAAGTATTCTAAAATTTTTTTATTATGTTCCCTTTTAGATATATCCAGCATTTTCATCCAAATAGAATCGTTTGCTTTTATCAAACCATTACAGAATGTCCAGTCTTCCCACCATGGCAAAATTCTACAACATATAAAAAAAGATAATAAATAACTCATCTTGTGTATCAGACTTATTAAGTGCGAAGTACAACATATAAAAACAATTTAAGACTTTAAAGGTTATTAGAACTATTCCTTATATATGTATACTTATGCTTTTCAGGATTGGCAAGATGCCATTCTAGTTTAGATTTGGCATTATTTCTGCAATCAGAATCACCGAGCACACATGCCCATTTTGCAATTTCTTGTCTTAAACATTTAGTAAGATCATTCTCGTTAGGAATTTCTTTGTACCCTATTTTCTTAAAAACTGTAGGCAAAATTCTACGCATCTTTTCCTAAAAATTAAGTGTTAAATGAACTAATTATATGAACTTTATTATTTGTATCATTATTATTTCTGAAGAAAATAATGAGTAAAATATATATAGGCTGCGATTGAAGAGCGCGCTATCAGCATTATTTGTGTCATATTATCCTTCTTTCACATCTAATAGACGATGAAGATAGAATGACACAAATAGCGCTAATAGTGTCTCCCCGAACACAGTATTGTTGTTGCACATATGATATGTATTTTAAAAGTTTTAATTCTTACAATTATAGTAAAGATATTATTAAAAAATTCAAATGTAATAAAATATTATAAAAATTTATACATAAAAATATAAACATTTATTAAGTTACTATTACAAATCTTATTCGAGTAACATGATTTTTTGCAAAACTTCTTTAATCTTGTCTCTTGCAAAATTATTGTGTGAATTTTTAGATTATAATATTATAAACTATAATTATTATACACATATCTATTTTAGATAATTACACGTTAAATAGCAGATAATTTGTTGATATGCAAAATTATTTAAAAATAAAAAATTATATTATATTAATTTTTATATAGTAATTTAAATTATGCGACAATCGTAGCAATAGAAACAACTGATATTATAATGTTTATAAAACAGTGTAACACATTTCATTGACGAATATAATATTTACTATATACCTCAAGTCCAATTTCCGAAAATGGAATAAAAATTGACAGATATTCAAAAGCTTTGATCATAGGGTACCATGCTACATAATCTGTCTCTCGCGATAGGTAATTGCTAAGATCCCAAAATGTAGACAAATTTATTGATTTTTCTTCTATTGCAAGATAAAATGCATCATCAAGAATTTGAGCACGATTGAGAACATGTATGTTTTTATAATTGTTAGAATTTAAATAATAGGCGATTCTTTGCCACATAGTTAATTCGTAATTAACACGATAATAGCCTGTTATATAACAAATAAAAATGTTATCGACCATTAGATTGTTTGCGTTAGTTTCATAAAACAAAAAAAAATAAATACATATGTTTTTTTTTAATATTGCAAACAGTATACATCTTTAAAAAAAGATTTTAGAAGCAATTTGCAAGGATATTAATTTATATGTATAATTGCACATTAAATTGCTCGCGACAGGGTTTGCTATTGTTAAATACAAAAAGTGTCAAATCACACGGAGTCCTAATTTCTGTACACCACATATACACAAACATATAATATATAATAAATAAAACACATTTTACGTGTCAGAGATCAATCTTACAGAATATTATAATATTATGTTTTTATGTAATATGTAAATACTCCAAATTTGCATTAATAAAAGACAAACAATATAATAATAGTAATATTAAAATTAATAATAATATATTAGTAATAAAAATACAAAAATTATATTATATTATATTATAGAAGCAAATACTAATATAGTAATAAAAATACTAAAATTATATTATATTATATTATAGAAGCAAATACTAATTCACAAAGTTAATAGTTAAAACTTACCAGTTTGTTGCAAGTTAAATATGATCCAATCAAATTGTGTAACATTTAAAATAATTATTTGCTGATCATTTGGTGTTAGCCAACGGCGGGGCACAGTGTCATTAAAATTGAGCTCTGTTTGTGTAGTGTAAGTTATAGGTATCCACCATGTGTTTTTTTCCTGTGATATTATTATATTACCACTTCGGCTCTCTCGAATCACATTTAGCACAGGATATTGACTCGTCGTTGTCCATTTATTCATTATGCTTTTTAAGTCAGACATTACTGGCTCAAACGTGTCCTTGTAATTCGATTTAAATAGAGCCATTTGCATAGAGATCCATAAATCATAGGCAGAGCTTTCAGAGCTAAGTTGACTAAATTTTTTAAATTTAAACAATAAGAATCTTATTTTTAGACCGTACCATGTGAGAGACACAATTAATAATAGAAATTCATATATATATATATATAATTCACTTTGAATTATTTAAAAGCATTAAAGATTTAGCTTCGACCGGTATAGGCTGTTGAATTTCTATTTTAAAATTTAATTGATATCAAATATTATAATAAATTACAATTATGTTTTATATAATTTATATATAATTTAGCTGTTTTTTATGCAATTTATAATATAATTTATGTAAATATCTACAAAATTATTTATATAACTTTTATATTTTAAGTAGACGCGCGATACTTTTTACAAAATGACTAAAGTTCGATATAAAATCTAAAAGTTGGAGTCAAATAGCAGTAAGTCAATTAAATAATAAGCCGCTTGTAAATATACTAAATGTACCGCAGAATAAAATAATGTCATATAAGATGAATTATATTATAATTATATTTAAAGTTACTACTCACTCCATGTTTAAATATTTATTAATCCCGTTCCAAAATACCGCATCAGTAAGCATATGTCGAAACATGCGAAATATAACAGGTGCTACAAAGATTTATAACAAAAAATGTTATAAAGTATATTTAAAATAAATTTATTATAGCGTAAATTTGTCAAATTTAATTAATTTCGTCATTTAAAATTAAAGTTCATTATAAGTTTTTATACTTTTTTCATTTTCATACAAAGTTAATTATATGTTGCAAGATAAAGAGATTATAGACAATTTTTTTTCTTTAAAGCCGCATGAGCTTTTCTCTCACGCTATTTATATTTAGAAGAAAGATGAAAAGAAAATGTGTGTGCGCGCGCGCGCGCGCGTGTGTGTGTGTGTGTGTGAATTTATGGAATTATTTATTCAACTTTACCTTTGATATAAGAAACGGAGATAACAAGCAAATCAATATCAGCAATGTAAGTGATTTCTTGTTGAAGAGGTTTCATAAGGGAGTGAGTATCCAAGTTAAGAGAATCATGTTGAATCTGAACTACAAACAAATCTGATATCCGAGAATCTGGAAAAATCTGGACATAATGATTCTTAATTTGATGAAATGAATATTTAATCAGAAAAGATGCTCGGCGTAACAACTGATAAACAACATGCGTCTTAAAGACATTTTTATATCACAATTAGATTCGTTAAAGACGCCTGAAAGTTATCTTTTAAAGGCGCATTTATTTAGCTATTTACATTATTAACTACAATATCTACATATAATAGCAAAATAACACAGATATTATTCTTATTACTGTTGTTATAAATAATTTTACTTTTTATAGCACCATTAATTTTATAACATTATTTTAATTTAAATGTGCTATTTTCTGGCTTTTCTTATATTACAGATTTTAAAAAAATTAGGAAATATTGAATGGTCTATATTTCTTCTATTCTTAATGGCTAAAAAATTTGCAAATTTCTGTGATTTTATACATCGAATCAAGAAATTTTCTTTTTTAAATAATCCTCTAATTCCCTTTAATTGCAATTAAATTAACTCTCTAATGCCAAAGATATGTGTAAATAAGAAAACAACCTCATTAATGGCATTTGCTACAAGCAATCCTGCAATACCATCGGTTATCCATAAATAAGACCACCAAGATAGATTGACCAAATTACTGAACCAGTGATGTACTGCTTCACGTGCCACTAATCGCATAATCTCTATTTTACGTGAAGGAGGATCTACTGCTTCATTATATAAAATTCTCGTTTCTCTAAAAATCGTTAATAAATAATATAATTATGTTAAGTTTCCATCAAAGAATGGTAAGTTAATTTTAAAAGTAATTAGTTATCGTTAATACTCGTTATCGAGTCAAAATAGTAACTAATTACTATTACTAGTTACTGATTCTCAAAAGTAACATCGTTACCGTTACCGTTACTTAAAGTAACAGTTATTGTTTCGTTACTTTTTTAATGCTGAAATAAGAGATCGATCTAAAAAATTTTGCAATATTTTTTCTTTAAATATTAATAAAACAATCGTTAATACGTTGAATGAATACATAAAAATGTTATAAATATCCTTAATAGCCTGCGGAGACAGATTTTAAACAGAACCTGTTACCAATTTTTGATTGCAGAAAACTGTATACAGAATTTGTATTATCTGACATTGTCAGTAAATTGCTGTCAGAAATATAACAAAGCCTGCTAGACATGCTATGACAGCAGATTGAGAGCAGATTGAGAGCAGAACCTGATTCGAGCAGACTCTGCTCGGTTTCTGTCACCAATCTGCTGGCATAGTCTATCAACAGGCTCTGTCGACAAATCCATAGCCAAATGTGGAGACAGATGGCTACGGTTTTGTAGTCAAAATCTGATGGAGTTTGCTGCCAATTTGGCCCCAAATTACTAACATTTTGCTATCAGGGTATGTTGTATATATAAAAAGTAACGATAAACGTAACTATATATAAAATTCGTTATCATTATCAAAAAGATGTAACAACGTTGTTGTTATAGATATGGAAAAAATGATACCTTTACCAGTTATTAAAAAAGTAATTTATAACGGTAACAATGTTACAAGTAACGCGTTACTTTTTCATTCGTCAGCTTCCATTATATTAAGTATGAGAAACAATGTAAATATAAAAATATTTTTGAATGAATTTTGAATGTTAATGTTGTATGTTTGTACTTTTTCCCATTAAATCAATTTTGGATGAGATAAAAATATTAACACATTAATATCTTCTCTTTCTTTCTATCTTAATAATGTATGTATGCATCTTACCTATAAAAAATAAGTCCCCATTGCGATACGCCATCTCGCAAATACCAATTCCATATATTTTCAGATTCTGGAAAAACAACGTGATCTATTTTTGAGATCGTTTTATTCCACATGATTCCTAAATACGATGTAACAATTTCAAACATATTCTCCGCAAATTTTGTATATTGTGAGGGATATGTACTGCCCCATATAGTTTGATGTTTGGAGGTATTTACGTTAATACGATAAGATGGAAAATTGATTAGCGCAACTGCCACATGATATGTCGACATTAAAGGAGTAATGTGAAAATGTGTCCAAACCATATTATTATTCACATACTCTAAATTTTCAATCGGCATATTCGACAAAGCCGTATGATTTTCGTGATGCAGTATGGAAATTTTAAAAGTGGCTTTAAATGCTGGTTCATCCCAACATGGAAATAATTGTCGGCCCCTAATAGGTTGAAAATTCAGTGCGTTTGACCATCTGCAATATAATTTTAATGAAAGATAATGAAAAGTCTTCAATAACATGGGCGTGCGAGATTTGGTCCACTGAGATGTAGGAATGGTTTTCGACATAATTTCTTGCGCTGAATTCAAATCTGGCCACAGAAATTGTCTAGCACGTCAGGATTTTGAGATAATCTATAATCTAAAAATGCCAAAGTAGCCGTTTCTGATATCTTCAAATTACAATAACTTTAAACCTGAAGATATAACACATATATGCATTTCTGTAGATTATTTTCATGACGAATCTGAATTTATTGGCCAAATCGACGGATATCTTCTTGTTTTAAAGTTATTGTAATTTGAATATGTCAAAAAACCGTCATTTTTGCACTTTTAGATTATAGAATATCTCAAAATCTTGGCGTGCTAAACAATTTCTGTGGCCAGATTCTGATGCAGTTTAAAAATTTACGTCAGAAACCACTCCTACAAATCAGTGGACTTTCCAAAGTCTTATTTTCGCAGGCCTGTGTAATTAATTAAAAAATATTAGGAGCTGGAAAATGTACAATATATATGTATATAATAATGCGTTTTTAATCTCTTAATGTTTACTCACATTACATCTCGTCTTTTATTTGTATATGCAATTTTGAAAACATCTTTCTTGGGAAGAACCGATGTACCATAGAATTTTGTATTCAGAATATAGAACCCAGGCGAGAGATCTTCAGTGAGATAAAATGTTAATATATGCGTTGCAGGATTATAAAACATATGTTGTAATAATTCATAGACATTTCCATTATTCTCGTTAATCAATGTGGGCGTGTCATATATAAACAAAAAATATCCTTGTAAATATATATATCGCGTTTTTTTAAGAATATGGATCCTAGTACTGGTTTCGCCTTCTAATGTATGAGCAGTATAGTTCTTTTCGGTGTTCGCGATCAGCAACTGCGGTTTCAACTTGATGTTATAATTCGTGGGTACTATATATGTTGGTAAACGGTCAATTTGTTCAACTGCTGAACGGAATTTGTTTTTCTCATTTCTCATGAAATAAATTTCTTTATGCATGAAATCATAAAGTATTATAACAAGAGTTATTGAACATAACATTTTTATAGATAAATCCATGACTGTTTTTATTTTAAATCTTTTCTGCAAAGTAATGACTTTTTGTTATAAAAATGACAAATATAAACAGAATTCATGTCTTTTGATAAGAGAATGTATCAAAACTGTACAGGAATTTTTATCATAGGTTTTAATGTGTACTTCATTTATACAGGGAAAAATTTATAATAGCTTTTTATTATACTTTTTACTATATTATTCTTTGAAATACAATTGTGTTAATCATGTCTAAGGACATGTGTTAATTAATTTAATTTATAAAAATTCAAATGAAAATAACGGAATAAAAGTACATACATTTTTAAATAATTTTGTAGAAAATTGTTTTTAGATGAAATTGTTTTTGCACATGTGCACGCTAAGATAACTATTATTAGTTTTAATGGTCATTTCTTTTTTAAATTAAAATTGTTAATATTTTAATGGATTATTTTTTGTTTTGCATATCAAAATAAACCTAATTAAAAATTAATTTAATTAATTTCTTAATACTTCAAACTTAGAAATTTAGAATTAGGCAGCGATTTATATAAAGAGATGATATGGTTCTCTCAAGCAAGGTCAATTATCACTGATGATAATTCGATATATGTTTATGTACAAGTTATCCTTTATTATTCTTTATAATCAGATTTCAGTTAAATGAAGGAACAACTAACGAATAATTGTGCGTACGACATGGAATTTCATATTTATTTTATGCCTGCTTTGATACTATAAGTAATAAAAAGATTTTAATGTAGATTATAATTTTAAAATAATAAAATATATGCTATTATTGCTGAAACAATTTTTATATCAGTTGAGTATAATACGTAAAGAATAAAAATATAGTTATAAACAATATATATACATTCAAAACAATATATAGGAAGAATAAAAATATAAAGTTTATATTTTAAAAAAGCATCAACAATTTCGATACTTGATAAAAACGGTTTGATCGAAAATAAAATCGTTCGTGTCCTGCATATATCTTTGAAAGTCGCAAAAGTAGATATTTTATTTTTAAAGACTTACCATATAAACTAAAGTTTTATGCCAATAAAAATGTAATCTTCCTCAATAATTAATAATAGTTACGATTATTAATATATAGATCGTTAATGCCAAAAACTTGTATGCCACATTACGATCTTAACTTCTCGAGAGACCATGAAATACTAATAGGTACAGTGTTGTTATGTGAACTTCTAAGGACATATGATCAATAAAAGCAATCGAAAATTAAATATACTCAAATATACCTGTGTTCAAATATTACAGTTTTTAATATTTTCTGTTTCTTATTGGATTTTTATTTCACATTTGCCTTGGAATCGATCATTTTATATTTTGCAGATATTAAAGTGCTTAAAAATCAGAAAGTAATTAAACTATTGAAGAGAGGAAGTTTTCCTTTATCTTTCTCTCTGAAAAAATCCTGCAAGTTTTAAGAAAGAAAATAAAAGTAAGTTTTATAAAGATTTTAATGACACTTCGATTTAATTAACCTTTCGTGCTTTAAATTATATGATTGGCTTTAAGAATCTTACTGTTTTACATCACATGCCAACTCGACTGGCAATAAAATTATACTAAAGTGTAATATTATATCGTTCTTAATACATATAAATAAGTATAAGGCACATTATATGATCCATAATACATTATGAATCTGCATATAAATTGATATTACAGCGCGCAAAGTAATAAACTGTCAACATTGCGTAATAATATATGGAGCAAAGAATTGGAAAAAAATGTTGTATATTCTTATCATTTGTATCGAGGTAATATCACTTCATTGGACAGAAAAGCTTGATAAAGAGCGTTCAAATATTGAAGGACAATTTGTATATATCTTTTTATAATTCTACATGTCGGTTTTTTTAATATATATATCTTAATAATGTCTCCATTTCTTTATAATGTTATCTAGATAAACTATTATTGAGTTAAATAGTACTTAATAAAAATTTAATCTTCTCTCAAAAACAAATTGCAGCATTCCAATTATTTCTGTTTACATTTTATCGCTACATATGTATGCAAAAGACAGTCTCGCGTCATGTTGAACTATTTTCCTGGTGGCACGACAACAATGCGATAATAACATGAATAAGAGAACAGAAAGTTAACAAATTTATTAGATGTCTTCTTATTTTACTGTATTGGATTGCAATTAATTTAATCAATATTTATTATTATTAATATATTATATTAAAATCAGTTATATTTTTTATCTACAATTTTTTTTTATCAATTTTGATCTACAATTCCTTTACCTACAATTCATAAATACATATATATATATACATATATGTATAAACAAAAAATATTGCGAAAATGCGAATGAAAAAGATGCAATTGTTATTTTCTTGTTTTGTTTCCTCTTCTTAGCTTAGAAAGTGTTTATTACATTTATATGAGAAACATTAAGCTTATCATATTCCCAACATCCAATACACAACATGTGCAAGTACACACACACGCACACATCAATATGTGTATTATCAATGTGAAAAATGAGATGAATAATGAATTTAATAAACCGAATTTGCTACGTCTTCCTTTCTTCGAATATTGGGTTCACTTACATATCTGAATCTATCATATATATTCTTATTTTAAAATAATTTATTATTAGTAATTTATTATTAGTATAATTTATGATTAGTATAATTAAATTCCGTATATATAATATAATGCAGCTATAATATTCCAAAGATTGTCTAAAAGAAAAACAAGTTAATCACGCCCGCTTTCTCAACTTGCGAAATGTAATAGACGTGGCGATTTTCCTCTCATAGTCTCTGATGTGGACATAAATTAATATAATTAAATTCCGTATATATAATATAATGCAGCTATAATATTCCAAAGATTGTCTAAAAGAAAAACAAGTTAATCACGCCCGCTTTCTCAACTTGCGAAATGTAATAGACGTGGCGATTTTCCTCTCATAGTCTCTGATGTGGACATTTCGTAATGCTCGATTTTGAAATATTCAGTACTCAGCTCTGAAGATTTCCCCTCTTTTAATTATGAATTGCTGAGGTTAAAGACCACGATAATGTTTCGCAAACAATTGCTCAACTCGTCGCAGGGGGTTCTTTCATCGCAAATACATTAAGCAACGTACTAATAAGCGCTACAGTCAACGTTTATACTACATATTTCAAACACTTTTCGATCAAATATATTGCATTATACATGCAATATATGAATAAAATACAATTCATCTCCAGAGAAAGAGGAAGAGGAAGAGAGGAAGAAATGATCAAACGAGAAAGAAAGCAAAAAGATTTTACACCAAAGCAATCGAAAGCAAAAACAGGAAAAACCGAAATAAAGACAGTAAAGAAAAGGAAATGAAGATCCTCGTAGAGGATTGGAGGAAGAAGATACGAAAAATTAAGGAAAAAAAGTATAAAAATATAAAATTACGATAAAAGAACACTATCATTAGAATTTGGACTCTCTTTTCTTATAAAATTGATATCAATGCATACATCATGTCAACGATACAGTTCTTATGCAATCTCGTCGATAAGCATATCATAGGCCACACGGGCGAGCCTCCAGATACGTCAAGGCGCGTAAGTGAGCGTTTGTATCTGTATGCATGATTTCGTCATTCACATTATTTATAATGTGACGTGAGACTGGAATATTATAATATATCGACAATATATTCCCGAGGAATATTGAGATATTGCTATAAAGATTTTAAAAACCGTAACAACATTTAAAATAAGATATTTAAGTAGACACACACAAATAAAAGTACACGTATACATATAATTTAATAACATATTATACAATTAGTTTAATGTAAGTTAAATAAAAATTAATTTAAGAATATATTATGTTTCACACTTTTTTTTTAAAAGAATGCACTTTTTTAAAATATTGTAAGAATAGCATCTATTATTTTTATTACGTTTCATTGCATATGATTTCCTTTTAGGAGACACAGTCGACAAGTTCTATCTTTGTCATTCTCTGAATGTCAAGAAGGATAGAACGATTTGTGTCGAAGGATAGAACGGCTTGTGTCGATTTGTATCATCAAATGGAAAGCAGTGAATATTAACATTGCAATTTCGAAATAATTACTTAAACACTTAAGTGTTTTATTGTCTTATATTGGCGTCGATGTACCTCAATAGAATCCACTCTAGACTTTGATCCATAGTTCATCTGTCTGGCAGCGATAATTTATATCCGATATTTCTCGCAATATGGCGAGAGAGAGAGAAAGAGAAATGACAAGGTTATTTCTCATTTTCATATAATAATGATAAAAAATAATAAAGGGCATTTGTTTTCCATTGATTTGAAGTTATGTGCATATATATATACACACAATATACGTGTGTGTGTGTGTGTGTGTGTGTGTGTGTGTGTGTGTAAAATATTGTTAAACATATATATTAAATTTTAATTACATACATACGTAAATGCATATAATATATTATAATACAGAATAGAATCATTTTAACGCCAGTACCTCCAATATTTTAGTTGTTTCTTATTTTAGCAAATGTTTTTCAATTACAAGTGCGATAATTTGTTATATACAGTGAGGGATTATTTTAATGTATCATTTTATTTAAAGAAAGAAACGTGTGATTATTTAATAAACAAAAATATATATATGTGTTATTGATTTTTTATATTTACCAAATAATCTTACGTCACTTCTCATTTGACGTTTATGACTACCGAGAAAAATATACGGCATTGTAAACACTTGAATGATGATGATATGATCTTAGTGCTATAATTCTTTGTCTTGCAGAAGATGTATCATCTACTTGCAAACACGATTAAATAAAACTTTCCTATGGGGCTTTATCATTTATCATTGTTTTTCACGGAACGTCGAGTGGGTTCGAGTACCCGAATAAAAGACACGATCCTTTTATCGCAGC